TTGTTTCATCTGGTTCCCTGAATTTAGCTAGACAGCTATCAAATCATTCTGAACACCTATGAGTTCAACCTCAGATATAAGAAAAGAATTGCTGGAATTCTGCAACTAGAAGAGTGATCACTTTTTGCAAGGTAAGAAGTGTGGAGAAGTGAATCTGAGGGGACATATCGAAAGACAAGAGACAAGGGGAGGGAACCTTTGTCAGCTGGCTGCCGGAAAGTGATAGAGCCCCAGGGCTCAAAACTGGAACCTTTAGAAATGTGCCCCAGTGAGAGGCTTCCCTGCCTGATAGGTGCTCTGGTGGTGAAGTGTGGCAGAATTTTAGGTGTGACACTGTGGTCCCAGGATTCCCAGGGTCACAGAAAGAACGGGGGTGCCTGAGCAAGCAGAGTTCCCAAGCATTGGATTGGGGAAACTGGTTAGGGTAGTGAGCCCAGGTGGGTGTTCTCAGCTCTGTTTGCCATGAACTTCGAACTGGGGTCAGATAACAGCTCTCCATGCACGTGGTGGGTGGGGCAGGCTGTGCCTACCCCTAGAAGGATCGGTGCGGGTGCACACCACAGGAGTCTGCAGGGTTTGTCAGGCACAAAAGTGAAGACCATTTATCCCTGAGGGTTTACTGAAGACAGGGTTACATTTACATTTTAGAGATAGAGTCTTCATTTTTTACTCCCTATCATCATATTCAATTTCAATTTTGTATATATATAAGTTTTGCTTTCTTTACAATCTTGATATTTAGTGTCTTCTGATACACAGACCAGAATACATCCAGGACCAAGTGGACCACCCTGATTTCTCCACCTGGGATATTATATTCTCTCTCCCTGGCTCTCCCTTTCTTTTTCTTTTCCCTTTTCCTTTCTTTTTTGGTTTCTGACTTCTTTGGATTTGTCTAGTATGGATTTCACTTGGGTTGTGGTTGATATTTTTGGTTTTCTTCTCTCATTCGTACATTCTTCTCTGAGCAAAATGACTAGAAGGAGGGATTCACAACAAAAGAGAGAACCAGAGGTAATGCTCTCTGCCACAGATCTAATCAATATGGTTATAAGTAAAATGTTGAAGCTGGAATTCAGGATAATGATTATAAAGATACTAGCTGGGCTTGAAATAGCACAAAAAACACTAGAGAATCTCTTAGTGCAGAAGTAAAATCTAGTCAGACTGAAATTAAAAATGTTTTAACTGAGATGCAGTCTAAATTGGATGCTCTAACAGCTAGGGTAAATGAGGCAGAAGACAGAGTAAGTGACATGGCAGACAAGTTGATAGAAAGGAAGAAAGCTAAGGAAAAGAGAAAAAACAATTCATGGTCCATGAGGGAGGGCTTTGAGAAATCCGTGATACCATAAAACAAAACAATATTAGAATTATTGTGATCCTAGAGGAAGGAGAGGAGAGGAGAGGAGAGGAGAGGAGAGAGAGAGAGAGAGAGAGAGAGAGAGAGAGAGAGAGAGAGAGAGAGAGAAGATATATTTGAACAAATCATAGCTGAGAACTTTCCTAATCTGGTGAAGGAAACAGGCATTGAGGTCCAAGAGGTAGAGAGGACTCCCTCAAAATCAATAATAATAGATCAACACTCCAACATATAATAGTGAAGCTTGCAAATTACAGAGATAAAGAGAAAATCCTGAAAGCAGCTTGAGACAAGAAGTTCTTAACCTACAGGGGTAGAAACATTAGACTGGCAGCATACCTATCCTCAGGGACCTGACAGGGCAAAAAGAGCCGACATGATATATTCAGGACAATAATGAGAAAAACATGCAGCCAAGAATACTTTATCCAGCAAGGCTGTCACTCAGAATGGAAGGGTATATAAGGAGCTTCCTGGACAAACAGAAACTAAAAGAATATGTGACCACTAAACCAACCTTCCCAGAAATATTAAAGGAGATCCTGTAAGTGAAGAGAGAGCCCAAAAGTAATGTAGATCAGAAAGAAACAGAAACAATTTACAGAAACAAGGACTTTACAAGTAATACAATGGCACTAAATTCATGTCTTTCAGCAGTTACCTCTGAATGTAAACAGGCTAAATTCTCTAATCAAAAGACACAGGGTATCAGATTGGATAAAAAAGCAAGACCCATCCATATGCTGTCTATAAGAGATTCATATAGACCTAAAGACACCTCCAGATTGATTGATTGATTTTAAAGATTTTGTTTATTTATTCATGAGAGACACACAGAGAAATAGAGAGAGAGAGAGGCAGAGACATAGGCAGAGGGAGAAGCAGGCTCCATGCAGGGAGCCTGACGTGGGACTCGATCCTGGGTGTCCAGGATCACATCCTGGGCTGAAGGCGGTGCTCAACTGCTGAGCCAACTGGGCTGCCTGACACCTCCAGATTTAAAGTGAGGACATAGAGTCCCATTTATCATGCTAATGGACCTCAAAAGAAAGCTAGAGTACTAATCTTCATATCAGACAAATTGGATTTTAAACCAAAGTAAGGATGAAGAGGGACACTATGTCATACTTAAAGGGTCTTTCCAACAAGAAGATCTAACAATTATAAATATTTATGCTCCTAACTTGGGAGCAGCCAATTATATAAACCAATTAGTAACCAAATTAAAGAAACACATTGATAATAATACAATAAATAGTAGGAGACCTCAACACCCCACTCACAGCAATGGACAGATAATCTAAGCAGAAGATCTACAATGAAACAAAGACTTTGAATGACACACTGGACCTGAGGGACTTCACATATATAGACAGAGAATTCCATCCTAAAACAACAGACTTCACATTCTTCTCAAGTGCACATGGGACATTCTCCAGAATAGATACATACTGGGTCACAAATCAGGTCTCAACTAGTACCAAAAGGTTGGGATTATTCCCTGCATATTTTCAGACCACAATGCTTTAAAACTTCACCCCCAAATTACTAGAACTCATACAGGAATTCAGCAGTGTGGCAGGGTAAAAAAATCAAGGCACAGAAATCAGTTGCCTTTCTCTTCACTAATAATGAGACAGAAGGAGAAACTAAAGAATCTGTCCCATTTACAATAGCACCAAAAAAAACCATAAGATACCCAGGAATAAACCTAACCAAGAAGGTAAAGGATCTATACCCTAAAAACTACAGAACACTTCTGAAAGAAATTAAGGAAGGCATAAAGAAATGGAAAAGCATTCCATGCTCATGGAATGAAGGAATAAATATTGATCAATTGTCTGTGCTACTCAGAGCAATCTACACATTCAGTGCAATCCCTATCAAAATACCGTTGACATTTTTCACAGAACTGGAACAAATAATCCTAAAATTTGTAAGAAACCAAAGACCCCGAATAGCCAGAGGAATGTTGAAAAATAAAACCAAAGCTGGGGGCATCACAATGCTGACTTTAAGCTGTATTACAAAACTGTGATCATCAAGACAGCATGGTACTGGCACAAAAACAGACACATAGATCAATGGAACAGAATAAAGAACCCAGAAATGGACCCTCAAATGTATGGTCAACTAATCTTTGACAAAGCAGGAAAGAATATCCAATGGAAAAAGGGCAGTCTCTTCAATAAATAGTGCTGGGAAAATTGGACAGCCACGTGCAGAAGCATGAAACTGACCCTTTTCTTACACCAGACACAAAGATAAACTCAAAATGGTTGAAGGACCTAAATGTGAGACAGGAATCCATAAAAATCCAGAGGAGAACACAGGCAGCAACCTCTTCGATCTCGGCTGCAACTTCTTGCTAGACATTCCAAAGGCAAGGGAAACAAAAGCAAAAACGAACTATTAGAACTTCATCAAGATACAAAACTTCTGCACAGGAAAGGAAATAGTTAACAAAACTAAAAGACAACCTATGGAATGGGAAGAGATACTTACAAATACATATTAGATAAAGAGCTAGTATCCAAGATCTATAAAGACTTTATCAAACTCTAAACTCAAAAAACAAATAATCCAATCAAACAATGGGCAGAAGATATGAACACACACTTCTCCAAAGGTGACATACAAATGGCCGACAGACACGTGAAATATGGTCAATACCACTTGGCATAAGGAAAATACAAATCAAAACCACAATGAGGTACCACCACCCCCTAGTCAGAATGGCTAGAATTAACAATTCAAGAAACAGCAAATGTTGGTGAGGATGGAGAGATAGGGGAGCCCTCTTACACTGTGGGTGGGAAATTCACGCTGGTACAGCCACTCTGGAAAGCAGTATGGAGGTTCCTCAAGTAGTTAAAAATAGAGCTACCCTATGACTCAACAATTGCACTACTAGATATCTACCCCAAAGATACAAATGCAGTGATCCGAAGGGGCACCTACGCACCAATGTTCATAGCAACAGTGTCCATAATAGCTAAACTGTGGAAAGAGCTGCGATGCCCATGAACAGATGAATGGATAAGGAAGATATGGTATCATCATGGTATCACAATGGAATATTACTCAGCCACCAGAAAGGATGAATCCTCACCATTTATACTGACATTGATGTAACTGGAGGGTATTATGCTGAGCAAAATAAGTCAATCAGAGAAATACAATTATCAAATAGTCTTACTCATATGTGGAATATACGAAACAACACAGAGGATCCTGGGGAAGAGAGGGAAAACTGAATGGGAAGTCATCAGAGAAGGAGACAAACCATGAGAGACTCTCAACTATAAGAAAGAAACTAAGTGTTGCCTGAGGGGAGGGGAGTGGGGGGATGGGGTAATTGCATCATGGTCATTAGGGAGGGCACACGCTGTGATGAGCACTGGGTATCATATGCAACCGAAAAATTACTGGCCACTACATCTAATGTAAATGGCCACTAAACTAATGATGTACTGTATATTGGCTAATTGAATTTAAATTAAAAAGTAAATAAAATACTATTATACTTTATAATGATGATCATTAGAGCTGAAAAAAAAGTAGTCCAGGAAAATAATGTGTATGGCCACTGGTACAATTAACCATTTTCCCTTTTACACCATCAATCTCCCTTCAGATATTTAAGTGTTTACTGAAAGGTTCCTTGCCATGAGATTTGAAGAATAAAAAGAAGCTTTAAAGCACGCTGTTGGTTCTCAAGGACCTTTCAGTCTCGGTAGACGGACAAGGTTTCTTCGTATAACATACAAGAATTACAGAATTCCAAAAGGCAGAAGAACTGACCTGCAGCTCCAGATGTCAGGTATGGCAAGGGAGAAGATCAAAGAACTGATAGAATTTTGATGGGAGGGAGTGGTTGGATATTCAGATGAGAGAATGTCAAGAATTTAGGGGCAAAGGCAAAAGCCGCACAGAGCAGTGTCAGTGCAAAGAATGCTTTAGATGTTAAAGATTTCCGTCCTGGAGTCACAAGAGATAAGGCCAGAATGTCACGCTGAGACCAACTTATGAAAGTTTTGAATACAGTTTTGGAGTTCGTACTTTATTTTACAAACATAAGCGTTTTATGGGAAGCTTCTGAACAAGCAGGTGGTGCATCAGACATCAGGTTAATGTTAGTTTAATAAGATGATTCTCAGAGTGATGCACAAACAAATCCCTTGAAGGAAGAAGAGACTAGAAGCAGAATATGAAGGTAAGAGGCTGTGTCATTAGTCATAGGTGTGAGCTGCTAAGGACCAGAGTCAGGTGGAAGTTAGGAATGGACAGACTGGAGGCGCCTGGGTGGCTCAGTGGTTGGGTAGGTCTGCCTTTGGCCCGGGTCGTGATCTGGGGGTCCTGGGATACAGTCCCACATGGGCTCCCCACAGGGAGCCTGCCTCTGCCCATGTCTCTGCCTCCGTCATGAATAAATAAATAAAATTTAAAAAACAAAAGAAATGGACAGAATAAATGTGCATGTGCGTGTTTTAAAAGAGCACTTAGCATATCATTATAAATGAATAATGTAATAGAAACTCCAAAGCTAAATTTGTTGATACTCCTTATTGTGGTTGAGCAAACATTAGTGGCAAGATTGTTAATGTGTCCTCTACGAGACTGATACGGGAATTCTTCATCTGCCTGATGTCATTATGAGTCCAGCCCAGTTATACTCATGTTCTCTATGTAATTTTCCAAGTAAGACATTCCCTTGAGAGCTTAGTCCTAGGAAAACTTGGTGTACTTTGGAGGAACTGGAGTATTTCCTTCCTTCTTTTCTTCCCAGGAAGCTCAGGCAATCTTCCCTGTGAGCCTGTAGGCTCCAAACCAGGCTTTCAGCTTAACCACTGCAGCTGTGTTGACTTTAGACTGTAATCTCTGTTTTCTTCTTTGTTGCTGACTCTCCTCCCCTCCCTTGTCATTACCCTTCGCTAATCTTGAGGTCTTGGTATCTCCCCTTCCCTCCGTAAGCTTCTCCAAATGATTTTTCAAAGAGACAAAGGATAAGGACATTTAATATGTGCCAATAGCTCTCCCTCCTTTGACCCTAGTGGCAGTTTACTTCCTGAGCTCCAGCACAGCCTGTCTACATCTTGCTTGTATTTTGCCAAGCCTCTGAACAGATGGCACCATCTAGCATCTCTCTTATGTCTAAACTCCAACCTGATTCACACGTGATCTTTGAACCAACGGCAGCAGCAGCAGCACCGCCTGGGAACTTTTCAGAAATGCAAATTCACGGGCCTCGCCCCAGAGTACTGAACCAGAAACTCTAGAGGTGGGGCCCAGCAATCTGGGTTTTAACTAATCCTCCAAGGGACTCAGACACATGTTGAAGCACTGCTCCAGAGAATGTGCTCTTTTCTCTCTCTCAGTCTACATGGTCCCTACCTCATGGTATCTGTCATCCATTCTGTCATCAGGGTAAATTCTTTATACACTGTTCAGAATTATTATAAATTCTTAAAGGGGCTTATCTGAGTGGTGCAGCTAATTATTACCCACACCACAGTTAGTATTTATGCGTACCCTATCTCATGATCACTGGCTGGCCTAGGCTTGAGCCATTTTTGGAATACCTGACAACACCACATCCTGTCAGTGGCCAGCTTTCCTAAAAAAACAACAGCAAAACAAACAAACAAACAAAACACAGGCTAATACTGCTTTCCTGAGAAGATGGCAACACAAAAACCAGAAAGAGGCCTGCTGTGTGCAGTATGTCTTCAGCAGAGGACTAGTGGGCTTTTTCTTAGTTGCATAATCTAGGCTTCAGAGTCCTTTTAGGAAAGACAGCCATTACTGCTTGACACCATTGGAAATAGAGATAAGGAGATTTACCTGCTCTGATAATGGAAAGTGGTTCAAGTTAGGGTTGAGATACGAAAGAGCCTCTTATAAATCATTACGTAAACCAAGATCCAATTCACACATAATATAGGTGTCATCCAGTCTATACCTTTAATGGAAATGTATTGCTAGGTGTTTACGTTAGTGTGTAAAGATACTATGCCCTTCCTTACTTTTTAAATTTTTTTTTAAGATTACTTATTTGACAGGGCAGCCCCAGTGGCTCAGTGGTTTAGCGCCACCTTCAGCCTGGGGCGTGATCCTGGGGTCCCGGGTTCGAGTCCCATGTCGGGCTCCCTGCATGGAGCCTGCTTCTCCCTCTGCCTGGGTCTCTGCCTCTCTCTCTCTCTCTCTCTCTCTGTGTCTCTAATAAATAAATAAAATCTTAAAAAAAAAAGATTACTTATTTGACAGAGAGAGAGCACAAGCAGGGGGAGTGTCAGGCAGAGGGAGAGGGAGAAGCAGGGTTCTCGTGGAGCAGGGAACCCGAGGCAGGGCTCAATCCCAGGATGCTGGGATCATGACCTGAGCAGAAGGCAGATTCTTAACCGACTGAGCCACCCAGGCACCCCCCCTTTCTTTTTTAAATTACGAAGCACTGGGGATCCCTGGGTGGCACAGCAGTTTGGAGCCTGCCTTTGGCCCCGGGGCGCGATCCTGGAGACCCGGGATCGAATCCCACGTCGGGCTCCTGGTGCATGGAGCACGCTTCTCCCTCTGCCTGTGTCTCTGCCTCTCTCTCTCTCTGTGACTATCATAAATAAAAAATAAAAATTTTTTTAAAAAATTACGAAGCACTTTATGAATCGAAATGTAGTGACAGCCTCAGACATTGGTTTTAAATCTTTAAGTTGCTTTGTTGGGGGCAAGAAGTAGCAGGGAGGGAACAGGTTTCAGTAGAAATCTCTTATTAAATTGGGGCAGAAAACAGATGGGGGGTGGTTCTTAGAGTTTTGCATGGTGATGGACTAAAGAAACAGACAAGTACTTCTGCAAAGTGGATGTGAGTTTCTAAGATTTATTCTATCATAATTTGAAAAATGCTGGCAATCCATGTAAGGCAGTTTTGTTCTACAGTGGATTAGGAATTTAAAAAAACAGAACAAATATTTATTAGGCCTTAATGCAATACTCCATTCCTACCACAAGTTTTTTTTTTTTTTTTAAAGACTCGAAGAGTGAAGGTTAATTTAACTTTTGTTATCTGAAGCAAAACCCAAACTACAAGATACTAGGTGGATAAGGGCTAAATTACATTATCCTTGATGTGCTTCTCTTGGTACATTCTTGGAACTCTCACATCTTGTGACTTTATCTACTAACTATGTAGGTCAGTGTTTCTCAGTCTTGAGTAATGTAGTGATAGAGTGCGGCAAACATTTCTTGCATTCCCTCAGTATGGAATGAAAGTATTTTTATTACTATTTTACCAAAACATGTATCAATCTAAAAATAGGCACAAACCACTTAACCTTATGATTCCTAAACAATGATAAAAAACAAATCCAATACAGAAAAGTTATAAGCCAATAGAATTTAAACTGAGTGGCGTGGAAAACGTTTAACTGAAGCAAAAATCATATTCTGAGCCTGAGCATGGTTCTGCCTAAGGTGCAGCTTTTTGTGCTTTCAACAGGTCTTTCTTACTATGAGTCACATGATGACTCAGCTCTCACCACTTCTTTATTCAAACCACTGTGAAACTATCCTTTATACACTTCCTGTGGGTTTGTGTGTGTGTGTTTGCCACAATTTGTACAAACACATCATGCGTGTATTAACTCTGCTTGTGTTATTTTCTATTTGGCAACAATTAATACAGTGCTATTGATTGTCAACTTGAAATACAAAATGAAAAGGCAAGAAATAAAATTTGGTGTGATTTGATGCAGCTGTCCAGATGGTCCCACATTTTCTTGATATTTTTATTTTTTTAAAGATTTTATTTATTTATTCATGAGACACAAAGAGAGAGATAGAGACATAGGCAGAGTTCTGATGCAGGACTCGATCCCAGGACCCCAGGATCATGACCTGAGCCAAAGGCAGATGCTCAACCACTAAGCCACCCAGGTGCCCCTTCTTGTTATTCTTAAAAAAGTGTCAAAGATATGAAGACGTGAAATCCTCGTGAAAAGATGTTTACAGGGATCCCTGGGTGGCACAGAGGTTTAGCGCCTGCCTTTGGCCCAGGGCGCAATCCTGGAGATGCGGGATCGAATCCCATGTCGGGCTCCCGGTGCATGGAGCCTGCTTCTCCCTCTGCCTATGTCTCTGCCTCTCTCTCTCTCTCTCTCTGTGTGTGTGACTATCATAAATAAATAAAAATTAAAAAAAAAAAGAAAAGATGTTTACAAATCCTCAGTAAAAACTGAGTGCCATTGTGGTGGGCACAGCTATGCCTGCCAGTTGCCCTACAAGGAAGCATGTGGTGCCCCAGCCACTAGAAGACCACATCCAGTTCTCAGTTCCTTTAAGGTTTGTTCAGCTGCAAAGAGCTGCCAAGGGCTTGGCCTCCACAGGTACCCACATTCAAGGACAGATGGAGGCAGTGGTATTAAAACTTGGCTATTTTTCCTGAACAGGGACAACTCTGATGGGTCACATATATTCCAGTCTCCCACAGACTTGGCTGAGGCTTTGTTGGCCTGCATTGTGGTTCACCTTGCCCTCCTGATCCGGCTTTCTGCCTCTCTTCCGTTAGTGAGGAACCTTAATAAACACCCTGCATGCCAAACTCCATCTTAGTGTCTGCTTCTGGAGAATCCAGTCAACAAGAATCTCTATGAGGCTCCCAGTCTAGTGAGAATACTTCTTCTGAAGCCCTGATTCTACTTGCAAGCTTCTAGTCTCCAAGCTCAGCTTTCCAGGTGTATGCTCCCACCAGAACTTGAAATTCAACAGGTCCAAAGCTGACACATAATGGATCTCTTGGGCTTGTGCCTGAGAACAACTTGTGGTTTTTTCCCCCCCCTGCTTTATAATTTATTTAATGGCACTACCATTGTATTCCCACAGGATCAAAACTTGAGAGGTAATCCTGATTTCCACACATCTTGTTCTGTAGAGTCTATTATTCATGCTTTTTAACATGGGAAGAACTTTATTCACTTCTCCAGGGATTCACTCCACTCTAAACAAGGGATCTGCTGAAATTATAATGGACACTTTCACTTTGCTCTTGGGATGTCTAGTCCCTTTAATAGTTTTCAGTTTCCCTTCTCTTCGATTCCATAAACTTTAAAAGGCACAATTTTTTTTCTCATAAAGGATACATACACAAAATTCCAACCGACAATCACCTACGTATTTTAGAGTGCAGTATGTTGGCTCACCTATTGAACAAAAGAATAATGCTTTAAGAGGTTGGCAGCAAGGGCCATGCGCTTCACTTTTCCTCCTGCAAATAAGATTAATGCAGCACAGTCATTAAAACATTAATTAAAAAAAATAAAGCAATAAATCAAAAAAATGCATTCAGTTTTCTTTTCCTCTCAATCTTTTATATTGGACTAAAGAGTAAAGAAATCCAAGTCTCAATAAATGTCAAAATAATAATTTTGTTTTGCATGGTGTGACTAAAACATGTGTGAATGTTATCAGTTTAGAGGTCTCTGAAAACATATATACTTTTTAAAGCAGTCGACTCATTGAAAAATACTGATGTTTAAAACTGGAAGTTGTGTTGTCAGTTGAAAATGAGAAACTGAGATATTTGTGAGGGAGAAATTGTCAGGAAAGCAGTAGAACATTTCCTGGCCGTGGGTGCAGTCTTGAGGATTTGTGATGGCCATGACGACTCCAGCAACCATCACCATGGCACCGACAGGAAGCATGACACAGGACATAATCTTATCTGAGTGTGTCCTCGGTTCTTCAGACAGTTTCAGATAGCATGCTGATGGAATGATAAAAATTAGTGGAGCTGCACAGAGCACGCCCTGCATATTGAAAACAAGAAATAACAGTGTTACCAGATGCAGCATTCTTTGGACAGTTTTTAAAAAAACATTTACAAAATGCATTTGTCTTTGTGCATGTTAAAAGTGTAATAGGTTTAGTTGCATCAAAAAAGGGAAGGAAAAATAACCTAAGAAAGACTTAGGACTAGGTTTTCCCCCTTCTGATGATAGATTTACAAATGAGAAGAATAAAATTATAGTGTTTCAGACTTAAGAAAAAATGATCAGAAAATAATAATTTAGAAAATAAAGTGGAAGGTAAGACCAACTTCTGGCAAACTCTTGAAACGTCCCATATTTTCAGCACATCATATTTCTTTATACTCTTATTTCAAATTGCTGAGTACTAACTGCTCAAACGTGAGTGATTTGTCATTTGTGTACAAGAGGGAATATTGAGAGGTGTGTAGGGGATATTATCATTCCTCTTTCTTGAGTTGGTGTGAACCTAGGTGCTCCTCTGTATGAGAAAAGAAAACTATCACCCCGAGGGCACTTAGCATGAAATAGCATTTCTAAATCCTCTTTCTAGTAAAACTAAACATGCTAATTACCCTAGAAAATTGATAGCACAACTAAATGACCATGACTCATTCACCCTACCCTACATTAGTTTATGGGTAAGTCCAATCTGAGGGGGAACGTCAGATTGAAAATTATGGGGAGTAGTGTTGTCTATTATAAAAATACTAAGGGGGGGCCAGGGTGGCTCAGTCAGTTAAGCCTCCACTCTTGATTTCAGCTCAGGTTGTGATCTCATGGTAACGAGATCGAGCCCTGTGTTGGGATTTGTGCCAGCAAGGAGTTTGCTTGAGATTCTTTTCTCTCTTCTCCTGCCCCTTCCCCCACTTGTATGTGCACACATGCTCTGTCTCTCAAGTAAATAAATGAATCTTAAAAAAAAATTACCATGAATTGTTGACTTCAAAGAAAAGATACTTTCCCTTTGAGGAGGCTAAATTTGCACAAGACATTTTGCAAATGAAATAATGTTAAAATTTAATGCACTTTAGGCAATATAGGCTTTTAAAATTATATTATAAATGTTAATTATATATTAAACAAAATATAACATACTATTAAGATATATTAAATATAATCATATAACAAATGGCATTTTCTTAAACCATAAACCACAAGTTTTTAAAAACAGACAATAGCAAATATGATATCGGTTTAGAATTAAAAGCAAGCTTTCCAAAAATACACGTTTTGCTATATTTGAAAAAAAATATGGAAATATGTCTATATACATAAAAGTAGAAAGAATAGTATAATGAAACCCTATATGCCTATCACCTAAGGTTTAAAAGCTTTTTGACATATTATTATTTTTTGACATATTATTTGGTAGATTTTTCCCTAGGGAAAAATCACAGAAAACTGATTTTGAAGCTGGATAACATAAAAAAACAGATTATACCTTAAAATAGTTTTAAAAGAAATATGTTCTCAATATCATCATTTACTAAGATGACTGTGTTATACTAAGTACCATCCTCATATCAGAAATACTACAACTATGATTCCAAAATTATAACTTTTTTAGCTTTTACAAAAAACAGAAGTCCAGAGAAATGACAGTTGATGGGAACACATTATGAAATGGCACTATTGAGGCACTATCTAAAAATTTGTAGAAGAATAAGAGGCATCACATGTCATGGAAGATATGTCTACGATGAGAGATAGAAGAATGAGAAAAGAGGGCCAAGCTGTATTCTAATTTAAAATATATGGACAACATAATTTTGCCATTCAAAGGGCCTATGTACGAATGAACACCCACAAAGGCACACAGATGTAAAGAATTCGCTTTCATATGGCAAGAAATGAATGAATTCTGGATTCCTTAGGCTGTATCAAAACACTTGAAACTGACACCACTCTTTAAGTTATGAAAAACACTGTGGAACCCTGTCTGTATTTATAATTATTATTATCCTTTGATTTCTTTGAAAAAATTTTGGAAACAATGAAAAGATAATTCAGATATAAATATACGTATGTGGGTGTGGGGGTGTGTATATGTATAGGAACAAACTTCTCTTCTCTTTACAGGAGCAAACATGTGAAGCTAAATTCATCAGGAACTTCGGAGTGTTGAAAGTGCTATCAGGATGAAAACCGCCACCAGCTGCTGCTAAGAAGCTGTCATCAGTCAGCATCTTGGGACACTTCCAAACCTAACTTGCTGGGCAGTCCAAAGCAATGGGTGTTCTGTTTATGCTATAATTCTTAAGAGTTGAGAAAGTAGCAATTAGTGGGAAAACTATAGCTGATGTTTGTACTGGAAGAAGTCCAGTGGGGTATCTTGTCGAGATAGCAGTTATTTTTTTAATATTTGAAGGCTCAGTCCTGCTAGAGTTTGTTGTTGGGGCCCAAGATCATCAGCAGAATGACAGAGCAGTTCCATCTATTCTATTCCCTGTAAATTCGTCGTCCTTATTTGATCTATTTAATATAGACTTGTGTGGGGCCTACATCACCGGCTTTGGGATAATTTTTGGAATTATCAGCACTGTCCTTTGATAGTAACACTATTGATGCCAGAGCACTCTGCAGTTTGCCGGAAGGAAACAACAGAAGGTGCTGAAGATTTTTACTGACAATACAAATTGGAGACTTATCTGAATTCTCCTACCAGAACAGAGACCTCTCAAAGGATGCAAGGAAACTAAAAATGAAACAAAAGAATGCTTACACATCTTCAAAGTTTCGACTCTGTAATCAATTTGGATTCATGAAATGTATTCCTATACCTTCAAGAGAAACTCTTCCCTAACTCAGGAGGTCTTTGGCAGCCTGGACTATGCCTTGCCCACCCTGATGACTGTATCTCTCTCTAGGTGGGCTTGTGCTGGGTAATTGGCTTGCCTGCTTCCTTGTACTTTAAGATGTTTGTCGGGCTGGTACTTTTCTCTTTGTACTGCAAGTAAAAAACCCATAGGGCCCAATTACTGGAGATGCCTCTTTTCTCTAATAGCAACATCAGTGCCCAGATCCTGGTTTCTTAATACCAAGAATGGGACTTCTGTTTATTTTTATTTGCTTCTAAGATGAATCCTTTAAAACTGAGGAACTGCAGTTCCTTCGGAAAATATGTCACTGTTGCCTACTGCCATGAAAACAATGAAATAAAAGGGAAGCTAAGCTCTAAGTGGGTTTTGCTTTTTTATTAAACAATGAATATGACCTCAAATAATTTATCCTGCATTATTTTAGTCATAGTAAGTAATAGCATTTCCCCGACTTTGCAAGTTGAAGATGTGATTCTATTACGCATCTCATCATTGAAGATCATTATTCTACTCAGTGATGATTCAGATGCCACAGTAGAAAAGAATTCTTAGAGCACAACTGTTAATGAAGATAAAAGCTATTAGCTAAAAATGAAATTAGTTGGAAAATTTTCAGCTCCATGTTACTTCATCTCCTGGTATTTGTCTTAACCCATTTTGAAAGTCTAACCAGGGACTCCTGTGTGGCTCAGCAGTCGAGAGTCTGCCTTTGGCTCAGGGTGTGATCCCAGAATCCGGGGATTGAGTCCCACATCAGGGACTGAGTCCCACATCAGGCTCCCTTCAGGGAGCCTGCTTCTCCCTCTGCCTGTGTCTCTGCCTCTCTCTCTGTGTCTCTTATGAATAAGTAAATAAAATCTTAAAAAAAAAAAAGTCTAACCATATATATTATGGATTACTCTTAACCTCACCTATACATAAACTCAATGTGTAGGTTTTTACCTTAAAAAATGGATGGAGAAATGAACCTACTTATTTTACATAATTTAAAGCCTTCTACTTAGGAAACCTTAGGCTAGCGTGATGATTAAAAATATGGGCTATAGGGTCTGAAAGCTTGTGTTCAAATCTTGATTCCTCCACTTACAGCTAGTGTGAACTATTTAATCACTCTGTTTAATCATTCTGTGCCTCAGTTTCTTCATTTGTAAAACTAATACAGATTAAGGCAGGTAACTCATGCAAAACACCTGGCACAGAGTAAATAATCAATACAAGTTAGCTCACATTGTCATTCTGAAGTGGAAAACAGCATGCTTTAGGTACTTCTAAAGTGTTGCATGATCCAGCCTACATTAGTTACAGAGAGAAATGATGCCTCATCTGGTTCTATTAAGCATGATGAATGTCCACAGGAAGGGAGCTGAGTGAAAAATCTGAATATGTTGTGCATGCCAAAAGACTTTTGTTGATTCGAAAAACATATGCTCAGATGATCCATAAAACAATGGAGATCCTAAAAAAAACAAACAATGGAGATCCTATATTTTATATATTTCTATATTTTATTACATGCTCACAAAATGCCTTGTTTTGTTTGGTTTGGTTTGGTCCATCTCAGTTTTTCTTTCCTTTTTAAAACTTTTTATTTAAATTCCAGTTAGTTAACATACAGTGTAATGTTAGTTTCAGGTGTATGATATAGTGATTCACCACATCCATACATCACTCAGTGCTCATACACAAGTGCACTCATTAATCTCCATCACCTGTTTAACCCACCCCGCACCCACCTCCCCTCTGGTAACCATGTGTTTGCTCTCCATAGTTAAGAGTCTATTTCTTGGTTTGCCTCCTTCTCTCTTTTCTTCCCCCTTTGCTTGATTTTTTCCCCTAAATTCCACAAATGAGTGAGATCAGATACAATGATTTCTATAGTATAGTATTTCTATACTATTTTCATCGATGTTGTTGCCAACGGCAAGATTTCATTCTTATTTATGACTGATACAACGTAAGAGGGTTCTCCTTTCTCCACATTCTTGCCAACACCTATTGTTTCTTGTATTGTTAATTTTAGCCATTCTGACAGGTGTAAGGTGATATCTCATTATAGTTTTGCTTTATATTTCCCTGATGATGAGTGATGTTGAGCATCTTTTCATGTGTCTTTTGGCCATATGTATGTCTTTTGCCCATTTTTAAATTGGATTATTCATTTCTGGAGTGTTGAGCTTTTTTATGTTCTTTATATATTTTGGATATTGATCCCCTATCAGATATGACATTTGCTAATATCTTCTCCTATTCCATAGGTTGCCTTTTAGCACTGTTGATTATTTTTTTCTCTGTACAGATGCTTTTTATTTTCATGCAGTCCCAATAGTTTATTTTTACTTTTGTTTCTCTTGCCTCAGGAGACATATCTAGCAAGAAGTTGCTATGGTTGGTATCAACTGGGATACTGCCTGTGTTCTCTTGTAGGATTTTTTTTTTTTTGCCACATTTAGATCTTTAATACATTTTGAATTTATTTTTTGTGTTTGGTGTAAGAAAGTGGTCCAGTTTCATTCTTCTGCATGTAGTGGTCCAGTTTTCCCAACACCATTTATTGAAGAGACTGTCCTTTTCTGGTTGGATATACTTTCCTTCTTTGCTGAAGATTAATTGATCATATAATTATAGGCTCATTTCTTTAAATCTAGGTAATTGTCTTGGTTATTAGATCATAAAGACAACACTCTTATTTAATTGTCTTTTTATGAATATCTATATAACCAGGTTTAAAAAAAATCCAAGGATCTAGAATCATGTTTTAAGATTTTAAAAATAGTCTTCCACAAGCAGCTCAGATTTTACCTTTATAACAGACATTCACACAATATTCTTGTCTTATTTTTCTGCAATACCAGAATTCTGTCTTAATCATAAAAGATTTTAAATATAAGTACAAAAGGGAATATCTAATGTAATTAAGTGCATACAATTTTGTTGTGCAGGCATCAGAGAGATAAGCAATTAACAGAAAGTTATGGTAAATTTACAAAAATATGTCATTACTGAAAAATAAGCAATATCTATGTGCTTGCTTAACTTAAAGGGAATAAGAAATTATTAAGCTATCAACATATGGTTAAGTGATCAGACAGTAAATAAACATATATTTTTTCATATCAAAATTCCACAATATTAAAAAAATTCCACACAACCAAATAGGAACTCAAATGAGACATTTAACAAAGTAAGAAATAACGGAGCTGGGAATCATTATGTTGATCATATCCTCAGCACAGATGAAAGATTACTATCACTGTCAATGCCATCAATTTTTGGTGACACTTAATATCCTGGTGCTATACTAAGAAAAGTCTTTTATGTCCAGGAACGTTTGTAGAAAGGGTTCCTGATCTGTGGTCCCAAGGGGCAATTGGCCACGCAGTACTTTGAGCACGGTGTCCTTTGCACTGTGCCACATACTGTGGAGGATGGACAAGGCATCTCAATACCATTCTTGTCTTCAAAGAACTTACTCTCTGGTAGGGAAGGCAAGCTTGTGGACAGCCCAAACAGTACACGATACATGATAACAATACATAAATCAAGTTACTTCATTAAGATAGCAGTCATCCACTTACATAGATCAAGGTTCATTCACAGTCATTTCACATTCCAACCTATCAGCCTTTGGTCTATGCAAAATTGAGAAGTAGGCGAAAGTTACTTTTGATATTTATGCATCTCTCTTATGAGCTTTCTTTCCATTGTTGGTGGAATAGATGATTCCCCAGGCTCTTCTGGTTTTGGAAAATTGCCTACTCCCGACTTTTTACATACCCTGCTACAAGAATATTCCCAAGAGTGTACTGACTGAATCTCCCACTGCTTTTGTCTGGAACTTCAAATCCAGATGGCATCTAGAGGGAATAGTGGTGTGAGCACAGACAGTAATACTTTCACATTTTCCTCAACTCTCAGTGGAGTGAATACATAATGACTTGGGATCCCACTTATAAAAGTCTGCCCTCCCTGTGGTGCATAATTAATAAATGCTAAGCGGTAGGGTTCTGAGTAGAAATTCCATAAGGATTGTAGAAGAGGAAGATTAACAACTCTAAAGTGGTAGATCCATTTCTATTCATTTCTCCCCAGATGGCATCATTGTCCCACCAGGGAGTCATTTTTGATGTGTCCTTCTATCTCCCTTTGTCACCATGTCCTGTTAATCTTTTCTCATAAATGTCTTTAGGGAATCCATCTCTTTCCTTTCTCCATGACATACATAGCAGTTGAACTTTTCGTGTTTATTTGTAAGATAGTATGATCCATGAAAGCATGGATCCTTTGATTTCCTCCCATCATTGTATCTCAATTATATAGTAAGAATACATATTTGATCAACAAATAAAGGAGTTAAAAGTCACACTAGATCTTAAATCTTTGTAAGATTTTTTTTTTAAGATTTTATTTATTTATTCATGAGAGACACACACACACACAGAGGCAGAGACACATGTAGAGGGAGAAGCAGGCTCCATGCAGGGAGCCCTACATGGGACTGGATCCTGGGTCTCCAGGATCAGGCCCTGGGCTGAAGGTGGCGCTAAACCACTGGGCCACCGGGGCTGCCCTTCTTTGTAAGATTTAGATAGAAATGAAAGGAAAATAACAACTATAGGAAAGAATAAACATAAGCCAAAGGATAAAAGAAATAATATGGCTTACTCATAGGCCAAAAATAAGATTGACCAGAGCTAACGGTGGATTGGGAGAAGTAAGTGGTAAATAACTTTCCATAGAAGGCATAGGATCAGATTATGGAGGCAACAGAGATTATTCTTGCTCTGGGAGGATAGTGGAGATGTTTAAGCATTGTCATGATAACCTGGAAACAGAACTTAAATATGTGCTAGTTGAAGCAAAAAAGACAGTATTAATTCACATGTGATCTGACAAGGACTTAGATTTGTGAGATAGTGGTAGAGATTATGAGGGAAAGATCTAGAAAGGGAAAAGAAAATATTTTAAAGAAAAAGAACTCAGGCTATGGTAAGTGAATGTAGGGTATGGATATAATTTCTTTATTCACATGTATTTAATGAATCTCTCTAGACCCATTTTTACTTAGCAACTTCCAGATCCACTTAATATATCACTATTTTTTAGTAATATTTATGTATTATAGAAAATAGAGTATGAAAAAGTGCTCCAAACCAGGGTGTCTCAACCTCAGCACTATTGACATCTTAGATTGGATAATCCTTTATAATGGGGGCTGCCCTGTGCATTGTGGGGACTTTAGCAGCATCCTTAGCCTTTCTCAATAAATGTCAGAAACACCCACCTATCCACCTGTGACAACCAAAAATGTTCCCTGAGTGAGGAGGGACAGAATTTTCCCCATTGGAGAACGACTGCTCTAAAAGTGGATAGTCATCGTAATATTTATGATCACATAACAAACACATTTTCATTTCATTTCAGAAAGAGATACCTCTGTTAGGGAAAATACATCCTTTGTTAAACATAAACATGATTTTTAAAGGGATTTTTAGAATGGAAGATGTAAATCTTTAAATGTACTTACACTGAGTTCTAAAACTCTTCCAAGGCAATCAATCAGCAATGACATAAGCATGGCTACAGTAATGATAGCCACTGTTATAATAATGTGGAAGACCAACGGAAGATTCCCACCAAAAAACACATTGGCAATTACCTGCCAAATAAACACATTATTTAGAGAGGATTCTCAGAGGCATGCAGGACTTATTAAGAAACTATATCATATTATAGCACTTAGGACTGTATAAAACACTACCAATAAGGCAATCAATCAAATCTTAAGCCATATGAATATCCTATCTTTTCCAAAGTACTTACACATAGACAAACACACATCTGAAAAATGAGTAATCTTTGCTGAATTTTTAAACAGGCAGTAAGATTATATTACAGACCCAACACATGGCATATAATGTGTAAAGACGCATATTTCTCAAGTGTGAGAAAGATCCTGGGAAGTTACCTTATAAGGTATTTGACTGAGTTCAAGGTTGCCACTAAAAGAAACTATGGTTGCTATTTAGATTTTTAGAATGAGAGGAGATTGGAGAGAGTCAACCAATCTAAGAAAACAAATAGTGATCAATTTACGACTGGATAAAAAAAATAAATCAAATAGAATTTAGAACTAGAAGGAGCTTTAGTTACCTAAATCGATCTTTCTTAGAGTTACCAGCTTCATAGTAATCCTGAAAAGTCCTTTTGGCTTAAGGTAGGGCTTGAAACATGAGTAGGATTTACAGCAGAATTAGAGACTGAGGGAAGAGAATGAAAAGAACAAAAGAGGAAAGAAGGACAGGAAAGATACCCATGGAAGACTAGAAGGAGACGACCTGAATAGGGTCGACTCCATGCGAGAGTTGGAAACTCTGAGACAAGAGTTGGAAATGGTCAGGGAAGGTCAGATGCAGGGGTACCTTAAGAAAGCCAACCCTCCAAGCTGTTACTTATCTAACGTTCCTCACAGACTGGACACTTCCATAACCCTGCTAATAATTACCAGGAATACTAATAACTTACTCATTTATGGTTCTACAACTGGTGATGTTTTTCAAATATTTAAAATTCATTCTTATGGAAGTCTCTAATATATGATTATAATAGAAAATTACTGAGTGTAGCAGGCTAGTGAGAGATAGTCGTTAGGGATATGGACAGGCTTTTTGGCACCCTCGTATGTGGATGGCTTCTTTACCAAAATGGCTTTGACTGTGTTTGTGCTCACTCTGTGTGTGTGTGTGTGTGTGTGTGTGTGTGTGTGTAGAAAGGAGAGAAAAAGAAAGTGAAGGAGTGAAGTATATTTGAGGTTCCTCTGCCTGGTATTTGCAGCCATGGCAGAGATCTTGATTTAGTTCTTTCTGTCATGGCAGCTAGAGAGGAAACACAAGTTCCAAGTACTAGAGACATAAGCTGTGCAGGTGGAGTGTCTCGGATGGTCCACAAGCAGTTCACCAGAAACCACATGAGAATGTACCACCTGTTACCACTGATCTATACAGATCACATTTGAACCCAAAATACTGGGCAGAGGCTAAAATAAAACTATTTCCTCATCTGACAACAGCAAAAATATTTGAAGGTTCTTAGATTTTAAAAACCTTCAAAAAGTAAAGTTCAGTCTACTTCTCCCTTATATTGAAGGTGGAGAACTGGCCTGTGGGTTACACATTTGTAGGTGAGGACAAGTGCTAATTCTAAAGGATATACACAGGGCCCAACACTTCCTTTTCCCTTCCACTGAGCAGTTCCTTACCCCCAGAACTGGCATAAGGTAAGCACTGGGCTTCCTCTAGAAGCCTGCCTATTAGTGAGTGTATTTAAAGTTCTGGAGGCATTTCACTTCACACATTAGACCCATTCACATCCGCACTATGTAAACAGCCTCTAGGAATAGATCCTAAAACTAAGCCCTTTTCAGTGCAATTGCTGAAAGAACCACTGTGGAGCAGGATCATGCTTTTCTGCTGACTGTACAGTAGATTTTTCGCTGACTGTATAAGGGATTCCGACAAGCCATGTTATCCAGCTTTATGCAAAAAGAATGAGTTCTTTTTCACTTAATCATCCTTCACAAATCCATACATATTGTAGAAATATATCACAAATATATATACGTGATATGCTATCTCCAGTATTTTCCATGGTATAAAAATATAAATATATAAATGAAATATATCTGTAAAACTAGTGGCTTAAATTGAATCTTGGTTTTCCATGGACAATAAGATATTTCTGTTTTTTAAAAATAACAAAACTGATCAAAAATCTATTCAAAGGTGCCTTTAATACATGTTGACTTACAAAACATCTTAGCAAAAGGACAATGTTGTAAAACATGTTTTGAGTCCTAGTACTTAATTTCTTTGTAAGAATGCTTTTAACAAAAAACAACTTAGTTTGGCTCTATTAAAAGCTGGCATTCATTTTGGAATGCAGTTGTATAAATATTTATACTTATGCTAATATAAACTAAAGCACCAAACATGATCTGCAAATCCAACTTCTGAAAAAAATAACTTGTAAATTTGAATTTGAATATAAATTTGGATATAAATTTATCTTTAAACTGGTCAAAAAAGAAAATTTTATAAATAATATTACCTGTCATGCACTTGTGAATTTGCAGAATTAAATTAATTACAAATCTTCCTAAATTAAATGGAGTGGAGGGATCAACTAGGCAAAATGTTGGAAAGGAACCGTGCTTACCTCTCTAGTTACAAAGCATTCAATGGGGTACGTTAAAATGACAGTGACTCCATAACAGAACCTTCCAAATGTTACCAGGTCATCATTTCTGCAGTAGTTTTCAAATAAGTCTCCTAGAGAATAATATAAAATAGATTTATTTCAACTGACTATTTGAGATAAATATCTAACAGACAGTAGATATTTATTTAGAAGCTCCATAAACTCCATTAATAGAATAAACTGCCAAGCCTATATGTAAGTTTTTTGCTTTCAATAACTATATAATTATTGACTGATATTAAAACTAGTACATGTTTGACTTGAGATGAATTCATCAGTGATGGTTTTTCTCTTACTCTCGTTGTTTGTTTTCAGTAGATCTGCCTTAAATTTGTATCAACTTCTGAAAAATACTTTCATCCATTGTCTTCCCACACCTGAATCAACTCCCTAAATTCTTGTGCACTAGTTTTATAAAGTTGCTTCTGGTCTTTGTTTCTGGTAAATAAGCGACATAGTTATTAAAAAAAAAAAAAAGTCTGTTAAAATAAACAAATTTCCTTTTGAAATGTTATTCTTAGATCAAGGGCAATCCTGAAAGGAAGAGTAGACTAGTACATCTGGGGGGGGCTGAATTTCCTGCATATCATGCTATAGGGTTTAATCACAGACCTAGGGCCATGGCAAGGATTCACCTTTCATTCATGGTTTCTGATGAACCTGCATGCAAGTGCCCTGATTCAAAACTGTGAGAATATAGTTATTTCCAAGGAAAAGCATTATATGTAATTATTTCCAAACTAAACAATGGACCAGGCATACCTGGAACCAATTCTTATTTAGAGACTATTTTCTTAGACATCAATGAAAAAATAGAGGGATCTAATGAGGGCCCAGAAGTCATATCAGCATAAAGTTTCCCAATACTGAAACAAACAATATTTGGACCTGTTTATTTCCTGAATATATAACATGTTTACATTTTAAATTTTGGGTCATGTTTTCCAATTAGACTGAATAGAAAAATCAGATCAAATTCATACATTACTATACTGTATAAAAAGAAAACAGAAGGGGTGCACCTGGGTGGCTCAGTCTGTTAAGTGTCTGCCTTTGGCTCAGGTCATGATCCTGGAGTCCTGGGCTCAGGTCATGATCCTGGGGTCCTGGGATTGAGTCCCACATCAGGCTCCCTGCTGGGTGAGGAGTCTGCTTCTCCCTCTCCTGCTGCCCCTCCCATCTCTACTAGTGTGCTGTCTCTCAAGTAAATAAATAATCTTTAAAGCAAAACAAAAACTATACTTCTGCCTTTTTTTTCATGAAAAAGCGAAATGACCCGCCTCTGCCAAGACTTATTTTAATGACTCTTCTCCCCTCCCCTTGTCAATTAGAACAAGTGTACATTACTTTGTAGGGTCCCTTCCCAGCAGTAAGGGACTAAACCACAAAGCAGTCACGGCAGAGACCTGCTTCAAGGTTGACTGAAGAGACTCTTACCACTCTGAGAAAAGAAGACAGAAGGTCCCCATTCACTAACCTTCCATAAAAAGTGTGTCCTGCACCTTTTCCAAAGTGGTTGAAAACGTCAAGAACAACCTTGAGTTCTTCACTGTCTCACAAGCTAAAACTGATCTACTCAAAGGGACAAGAAAAGAAGCATGCAGTTTGCACAGGTAAGAACAGATTTCCCTAAAATGAAACGGCCTGAAGAAACAATGTCAGCTTATTCCAGCTTGAGTCTATTTTCGGGAATTATAGCTAGATTAAAAAGAAAAAAAAAAAAGCTCCAACCCAAACCAACCTGTCAGCTTTGTTGTATAAAGATTTAATTACATCTAAGCAATTACCACCAGTAACAACATTAGGAAGGTGTGACTAAGAAAAAGGGTTTATGTCTTACAGGGAAGGCATTTAAAAACCAAGGTTTTGTACAGACGAGCCTGCAGGCCATTCGCCTTGGCAAAGGATGCAGCAATAGCAATACGTGGCAATGTTTTGAAACACAATTTTTATCAAGACTTTCATGGTCACTTCATTACCGCATTCTAATGGCACATGCATGTATTATATTTTTGATGGCATTGGAATTATGTTAAACACTTTGTTTTGTTGTGTTTTTTAATTTTTATTTTTTTGTATATTTTTTAACACTTTGTTTTGAAGCCACTTTTACTTTTTTCTTTGTACCTTGAGAAATCTCTGCCTATAATCATAGTCACCTCTGTTTGAAACAATACACCCAAGAGTACCTAGTATCATCTGCAAAGTAAGCGAAGAGGAAGTGGAGGATAAGAGACAGCTTTTAATGAGTCACACTTGACCAAAGTGGGGTAGACTGCAAGAGAGAATAGAAAGAAAAATGAACTGCAAGTCAGAAGACTTGTTTTCTACTTTGTCACCAGCCAGCTTGGGCAAGTTCCTTCACCTCTTTGTGTTTTAAGCAGGGGGTAGAACTAGTTATTCCACTTACCTTCATAGGGTTGTTTCAAGGTCAAATGAGATAATAGACCGGCAAAAGCTGTGACATGTTTGAGTCACGGCATTTAGCGGGCTGTCGGATTACCCTGGCTATTAAACTACACAGAGGAGTGAGGGCAGAAGTGAGTCAAAGGAAGCAGAAGCAATAGCCACTCAGTTGCTGTGCCTGGGTGAACAGAGAAAAGAGAAAAAAATTCAGTGTGGGGTGGTGTCGTGGGGGTGGAGGGGAGAAGGGGTGAGGCCCGTGTTGTGGGAAAGATGATGTTTTGTGTTTAAGGCAGGAATGGGATAACTAAGTAGGAATGTCCTGCAGGCAATAGGCTGGAGATGAAAAGAAAGGTCTGGACTAGAGTTTAAAACAACGACAATCTCCAGAGAATTAGTTGAGGGAAAAGAAGGCAGCTTGCCTGAGCCAGTTAATGGGAGGTGGGGGGAGAAGAGGAGAGAAGGTAGGAGAAAGAAAAGGGCCATCACACAGAGAGAAAAAAAAATACTAACAGAGGGAATGATGATATGGTCGTGCTCTTTCTCCTATGGGAGGAGAGACCGGATATTCAGGACTGTTAAGTGATTCACAGAGGTGCATGAGAATCAGAATCAAGAAGATTATTCACTTTGAAGAGTGGGAGGATGCTGGTATTTCTGAGAGTGAAGCTGCAGCAGAGCGGTGGAGAGGGAAGCCAGATTTCAAGTGCTTTTAAGTGAAAGCAGGGAAGAAGAGAGAAAGAATGAACTACCGGAATAAGTTCAGCAGTTTAAAAAGGAGAAAATCCGAAAAACAGAAGGAGCTGGGGTGGGAAGGTAGAGGAGAGAATGGATACAGGAGATCAGTGACGCTTTGAAGTGGAGCACTGGGTATAATGGTACCCAAAACGAGGAGCAACAGAACCACCCCATGCAAATAACAAAACGTGATGAGAGCTCAATGTCTCATTTACCTTGGGTGAAGCCAGTAAATGTCAAGTATCCACAGGCAGCAAAGAGAATACTGATAAATACAGAAGCCAAGGTAGACACATGGATGATGCGGGACCACTTAGCTACTGTGGGGTCTTCCAAAGAACCATAAACTAAGAAGCAGTTATGGTGGCAAATAAATGCTGCAATACAAAAAAAAAAAAAAAAAAAAAAAAAGAAAAGAAAAGAAAAAAAAGAACACCATTAAAGCAAAAAATTGCAGGATTTTTTTTCTCCATTGGTGCCCGCAGTTCTTGGTTGGTCGTGCTGCTTCAAAGAATGAAGAGGTAGGCCAGACAGAGTGGTGGGCAGCAAAGCAAGGTTTATTGAGCAATAGCAAAGTCCCCCCAAGGAGGGAGGGGACCTGGGAAGTTTGCCATCAGAGTTTCTAAATCAGGGGGGGTTTATGGGCTTGTTGGAGGGCTGTTTTAATCTGATTGACCTACCTGAGCCTGTCGTCCAATCAGGTTTTTGTCATCTATCTATCACATGGGAAAGGGTGGAGGGCTCCTTGCAGGGTGGTGTAAAATCCTTTAAGGGTGGTTTCCTCTTAGAGCTGGGGCCCTTTGGCCCTGCCTGCCTGCCTTCCAACTATCCTTCATCACAAGCACTAGGGTTCTTTTTAATTCTGAAAATTCAAGAGGCATATGCGACTTTGGAATGCTGCTGAACTGAAGTTCAAATACATTAATTTACTAGCTACATCAGAAAATAGAAAATAACTTTTTTTAACAACTTCAGGAATGAGAAATTTCACTCACATTAGGCTCATGTGGTCTCTTCATGTCACTCTTGATAGAAACCAGGCCTACCCAACTTTCTCTCCCATTTTCCATTTCCTAGTGGACTTCCAATTGTAACGGAAATCTAAACAGCACTATATTTTCAGTCCATGACTTCCTTTCCAATCTGGGATATAACAGAGTGGCTTTAGACATCTGGCCAATTTGTAATACTTCATGTACAAGGTTTTGAATAAGCACATAACACTTGCTAAATTTTCAAGTTAAGAAACACAAGATGACTGTAATGAGTTTTCTGCATGAGGAAGAAACTTGTCCAAATTAAATCAAATTCTAGTGATGAGTGAGAAAAGTTTGAGCCTAATTTTATGTTGGCACAAACTGGATCATATGCTGTTAATAGGAAGTCTAAAACTTAGGACATCTGCTCTCCAGACACAAATATGAAACTTTTTCATTATACCGAAGACTCCATATTGAGAAAGGGCCTTTGAAATCATATACTCACCAAATGACATGACACCAAGCGCCTGAATGGCATTGGGCTTTGCAAATACCCAAGCATCTTCTGTTTTTGGTCTAGAAGATAAATCAGGTAATTTAGTGAGTGATCAAACAAACGCAAGCCTAAGCATGTTGGAGAACAACAAATGGTGTCACAATAAAAACTGAGTATCTTGAGGTCAGAAATTAAAAGGGGCCCTCATTAATCTTCCTTAATTATAAATAACTTCCCAGGAACATACATGTTATGGTTACCTCAGTTCTCTAAAAATGCATACTTGGAAAGACTTTATTTTTACATATTTAAAAAATCCACTGACTACTTAATTTTGTGACTTTATTTACTCACCAATTTAACAACAAATATTTGTATGCACTCATCATTGAAGATTGAGGGAGATACAAAAATCAATGATGCAGGGTTCCTCCTCATGGTTAACCAATGCTTCCTTCATTCCCCTTTAACTCATTCTCCAGGTTCATCCGACTCAAGGGAAATTCATAGTTGGGACTACAGTTTCACCGAAGAAGGTGGACGTGAACTAGTATTAATTGAGGATGTTTTTAATTGTATTCTGGGAATTACCCTATGACATCTCAATCTTCACAGTGACACTTAAGTATTATTGTTACTATTTAATACATTAGGAAAGTTAGGCTCTGGGTGGTGATAAAATTTGTGGAGCTTCCACAGATTATAAGTGAAGAAGATGAGATGTGCTGTCCATCCCCGGATCTCTTTCACACTGAACTGTCAGTGACTTCAATTCCCACCTGTGGAAATACTTTTCAAAGACGTTTTGGAAATACATGAATTTAAATTAACTGAAGAATTGTATTTCTTAATAGAATTAAAAACATTTGCCTGCTTGTCTTTGGCAGAAATTGGTCTCCCTGAATAATGGTCAAAAGTTTGGTTCTGAGATCAGACAGCTTGTGTTAGTCTTCTGGCTCCTTCTACCTATCAACTGTGCGATCTTAAGCAAGTATTAAACCTTTCTGTGCTTCAGTTTTGATATCTAGAAAATAAGGGTTATGACAGTAGTACATAATCCATTGAGTGTGTGACCTTAATATTATCAGCCTATTATTATCATTCATTGTCATTTAATAAAAAGTACACAAAATGGCTAAAAGATATCCAGCTTCCCTGAAAAGGAAAGGCTTGAGTGAAAACCAAAAGAATACATTAAAGTAAAAGAAGGGAAAGAGGAAGGAGAGTCGTAGAAAGCATAAAGGCAATAGGTGTAAACCTATTTCCTGAGTTTGTTATTCATTCTCCATGTAAAAAAGCCTCATTTCCTATGTCAAAGTTAGTGGGATTTATGCATTATATCTCTTTTCCTTTCCTTTCCTTTCCTTTCCTTTCCTTTCCTTTCCTTTCCTTTCCTTTCCTTTCCTTTCCTTTCCTTCTTTCCTTTCCTTTCCTTTCCTTTCCTTTCCTTTCCTTTCCTTTCCTTTCCTTTCCTTTCCTTTCCTTTCCTTTCCTTTCCTTTCCTTTCCTTTCCTTTCCTTTCCTTTCCTTCCTCCTTTCCTTTCCTTTCCTTTCCTTTCCTTTCCTTTCCTTTCCTTTCCTTTCCTTTCCTTTCCTTTCCTTTCCTTTCCTTTCCTTTCCTTTCCTTTCCTTTCCTTTCTTCTTCTTTACTTTCTTTTTCATATTTCAAATGAGCAGTTACCAGCACAGAAGAACTGGCCAGCCTACAAGGGAGGCCTCAGGCTGCTCCAAAGCTTGCTGTGATTCCAGGTTTTTTGAGTGGGAGCTGCTGCCACCTGCTGTCTCCAATACTCTTCCTGCAGTGAACATTAACTAAGAGTACACCTGTCCGATTCCAAGGTTAATGTGGACAGATTTTGTCCCCAGTCTTTAAAAAATGATTCAGAAAAGCAGTGCTAAAAATTACAGAAACTTGGAAGATTTTAAGCTTTTTAACATGTTTTAAAATACCTATTTTCTCTGTTAGAATATTTGCACTTGATTAACACTCATTTCCTCTCATGTACAGATTATAGTGGTGTCCTAATTTTTAACTCTTTAAAAAAGGTAGGAGTTTGATTTTCATTTTTCTTCCTCCACTCAAGTTTTTAAAATCTTTCCTGGTCCATATGCTTCAATGAACATATTCCTAGATAAGATGGAATATGAACTAGAACATAGAGATGATTTTGAATTTTTTAAAAGATTTTATTTATTCATGAGAGACACAAAGAGAGGCAAAGACACAGGCAGAGAGAGAAGCAGGCCCCATGCAGGGAGCCCGATGTGGGACTCGATCCTGGGACCCCAGCCCAGGATCATGCCCTCGGCCAAAGGCAGACACTCAACTAACTGCTGAGCCACCTAGGCTTCCTAATTTTGAATTTTTTTGTGTTCACCTAAATGGTACTGATTTTATTTATTTATTTATTTATTTAAAAGAGTGCACACATGTGGGGCAGGGGCACAGGGCAGAAGGAGAGAGAGAATGTTAAGCAGGTTCCAGGCCCAGTGTAGCACTTGACTTGGGGCTCTATCTCACAACCCTGAGATCATGACCTGAGCTGATATCAAGTCGGACTCTTAACCAACAGAGCCATCCAGGCACCCCAATGATGCTGATTTTATAAGATGGAAAATACCAAGAAAAGATGTTGCAGATAGGAGAGCATGTATTTCCAAATCTAGATAAAGAGAAGGAAAAAGACATTGAATATGGATTTTCAATATTTTATAAAACAGCCTGAAATTAGAATTAGTTGCTGAATCAACCAGCTACACACACACACACACACACGGGGGGGGGGGAGTTTCTTGGCATATTTAGAGATTTATGGAAATTTGATACCCATAATGGTTGAGAAAATGAAGTTATGTATTGTTCTGATTTTAAACTATAGATGCTGAAATACAAAATAAAATAGCAAATGCAACAAGCAGAGCATAAGAAAAAATCATGACTAGGAAGAGTTTTTCAAAGAAATGCAAGGGTTGTTCAATACCAGAAAAGTCTATTAATGTAATCCATCTCATCAACAGATTAATGGCGGGCAAAAGCTTATGAGCTCTCAAAATATGTAGAAGAACCTACAATCCAGTGTTTACATTGAAAAACACACTTTAAACAAGCTATTAATAAAATATAACTTCTTTAATCTGATAAGAATATCTACCAAAATCTATAGCAAATGACATATTTAATAGTGAAAATTTACAAATATTACAATTAAAGGTGAACATCAGGTAAGGATATTTACTATCACTGCTCCCAGACTATATCACTGGAATTCCTAGCTAATGCAATAAAATAAGAAGTGATAAGATATGTAATCATTGGAAAGGGGTAAATTATTTGAACACAATATAATTGTCTACATAGAAAATTCAGGGGAGGGACTCCTGGGTGGCTCAGTGGTTGAACACCTGCCCTTGGTTCAGGTCATGATCCCAAGGTCCTGGGATCGAGTCCCACATTGGGCTCACTGCAGGGAGACTGCTTCTCCCTCTGCCTATGTCTCTGCCTCTCTCTGTGTCTCTCATGCATAAATAAACAAAATCTTAAAAGAAAATTCAGGGGAACTTACTGACAAGCTATTGAAATTAATTTAGCAAGGTTACTGGATATAAGCTTGATACATGAAAATCAGTAGGGTTGAGGTACATAAGTAATAGCCAATTAAAATGTTTTTTAAATGGCATTGGCAATAAAAACACTACATATTTTAAATGATATGCATAACCTTAATGGCATGATATAATTTTATGGGAAAACATATATAAATGGAAAGATATGCCATATTCATGTATATGAATAGGTGACTCAATATCATGTAGATGTCAATTCTCCCCCCAAATTAATATTTAAATTCAAAGAATAAAATATTATATTCAAGGAGGAAAGAAATTCTTTAAAAAAATTGTAAAAGCAACATAAAAGTAAGGATTGAGAAACCTGAAACTGTTTGTATGATAAAATAATCCATATACAAATTTAAAATATAAAGATAAGCTAATAACTTAGAAACAAGATTTGTTATGGATATAGGATATTCCAATAAGCAATGAACAATAGTCAATTGACAGAAAAAGAAATGAGAATGGTCAATAATTATGCCACAAGTTGCTCACTTTCCTTTATAATCAGAGACATTCAAATGAAATCCATACAAAAAGGCATTTTACACTTAATTCAACAATAACAAAGTCGATAAATTGCTGGGAAAGGACAACTTGCAATTATTATGGAGGGAACTGTAAATTGTAAGACACTTTGAAGAAGAGTTTGACAATATCTAGTCAGTTGAAGATACTCAAAGGTTGTAACAATTTCATTTCTCCATATTATCCTAGACTAGGAAAGTACACATGTGCACAAAATATATGAATAAGGATCTTTGCTACTGCATTGTTTATATTAGCCAAACTACCTCAATTTCAGACAATAGAATTGATAAATAAATCCATAAGTAAATCATGACATAAACATAAAATTGTGTGCCATAAGAGCAACTAAAATGAGTCACTCAGTGCTAACTGTATCAAAATGGAAATATATGGCATACAACACTGAAGGAAAGATCATGAATTACAGAAGAGAAAATGCATTTTTTAAAAGATTTTATTTATTTATTCATGAGAGACACAAGGAGAGAGAGAGGCAGAGACACAGGCAGAGGGAAAAACAGGCTCCATACAAGGATCCAGATATGGGACTCAATCCAGACACTCCGGGATGACACCCTGAGCCAAAGGGAGGTGCTCAACCACTGAGCCACCCAGGCATCCCCATTTTTAACCATAGTAGTTATTTATGTATATTTTACAGACATACTAATCAATACTAGATATTGTTGTGAATACATAAAAGCATACTACAAGTATAAACGTGGGAATGATTTTAAACCAACAAGAATATATCTCTAGGGAAAAAGAAATGAGTTGACTTTTAAATATAATACTCTATTGCTGATAAATATTGAAGTAAACATAGAAAGTTATTTTAAAAAGATCTAGTCCAATTTCCTACTTCCTGAACTTTATATGATTATACAATATTTTCTACATAAAACCTTTCTGGACCTGAACCTAAGTTTTAACCTTA